AGACGAAACCAGTTTTGAAATATATAATATAAGTTGTAATCTGTTTTCAGTTACAAGGTGCTGATCTCTTATTCTAATGTTTGTACAAGGCCCGAACAAGGTAACCTTTTGAAGGACACCTCGGCTTAGTTTGTGACATTGAATATTTGCTGTCCTTCAACATATGGTTCTTCTTGTGTTGAGATTACTGATAGCGTTTTGCATAAAGGGCACTAGAAGCAGTTTCATTCACACCCCACTTGTCTTCGTCTATCATCTTTCGATTGTATTGTTAGAAGTTTTAACAGTACTCTTAATTCGTGTCACTAATGTGTATATAAAGGGAGTTTATGGATATATGGTTGAAAATTTTCGATATGAAAGTCATTTCAAATAAAAGATTTAAACAAGATTAACATGCAATGGCGCTTTGATTGTCATTCTTCATCTCAAAGTCACAGTGAAACTTTACGACGTGTAAATTGAATACTTGCACCTTGTTGTAAGTTAAGGACGTCCCCTGGAACCAGTATATGTATGGTTTTACTTTCTGTTTTCAAAGCTGACAGCATATGGATTAATTTTAAGGTTTGAGTTTTGGGATGAGTTTTGGGAAGTCTTAAGGTTTGTTTTGTTTCTGTATGGTAACTTCCATTGTTCAGGTCAAGTATGACTTTGTTTTATATCTACTTCACCCCAATACTTAACCGAACCCTGGTCTATTTGAGCACATCTTAATTATGATAGTATCATATCTTAAATGAGATCTCGCGAGAATAGACAAGGTGAGTTATTATGTCATTCTTTGATGAACTGTAGTACTGTTAGTAGGACATTGTCATATTTTGTCGAATTGGACGAAATATTTACTTGATATGGGGAGAAGAGAAAAATATATAAAAATAAAAAAAAAAAAAAAAAACGACAAAAACATTGATAGAGAATCAATTTTATCAGGTCACATTTGCTTTTAAATGACTTCGGGTTTTATCTCTACTTCACCCCAATACTTAACCGAACCCTGGTCTATTTGAGCACATCTTAATTATGATAGTATCAACTTCTTTTACAAAGTTCTATTAACACAAATGTATTACCATATTTATTTATTCTACCATGATCTTCACTATACCTCTCAAGAGGGATATTTTTATCTTTAAGATGAAGGTATGAAAAAATATTATCATCATTATCAGAAAAATCATCGACATCTAAAATTTCTAACAAGTTTTCGTCAGGAATAATGTAATCTGAAACAGTAGAAGTTCTGGCGTTAAAATCACCAACAAGTGCAATGTTTTTTGTTTGAGATATTCTTTGAAATTTCAACCCACTGAACAAATTCAGATTCAGAATTTATAAACTTCAAAAATTTCGACAGATATTTTCTATAAACAACTTTAATACCGCCTGACTTCTTTTTAAATTTTGTTCTATGTTTTGCATAAAAAGTATACTCGTGTGGTAATTTCAAGTCATCTAATTCATCAGTTTTAGTTTCAGTAAATATAAGTATGTCATAACTCTTTATTAATGTAGCAAAGTCTGGATTCAGCAATTTTGAAGTAATACCACAAACGTTCAGATAGATAAATTTTAAGTTGTCAACTGTCCAATTTAAAGGTCCTTGATTGCCTGATGTGTTGTCCTAACTGTAATTCCCTCTATCGTTGTGTATTGGGTAAGGAGGCTCCTCACGGGATGGATTGTAAGGTTGTCCGTTTACCATTATTTGGTCGTAAATTAAGGAAGCTCTTGTACCTCGGCGCTGGAGTTCTTTAAGTTTAGGAATCAACGCTTTACGGCGGTTGCTAATTTCGGTTGGATATTGTTGGTTCACTGAGAATTGTGGTTTTGATTTAAGTTTATCAGGTACAGATTTGCGTACACGTTCGTGTTTACGGAAATTTGTAAATATAGCGATGATATCGCGCGGCTTTCCGTCACGACGTTTTCTTAGTCTGTGTACGTTTTGAAATTGTATAAGATCTACACTAGGAATTTCAAGTTCTTTTTCTATAAAGTTTTTTATGACAGCTTCTGTATCTTCGTGATCATCATCATCGGTCTGTGGAATTCCGCAAAAAATAAGGTTATACTTCATAGAATGACTCTGAAGTTTTAAGAAATCTTCCCTCAAATTGTTTGATTCAATTTCTATATCTTGTGTATAGTTTTCTATCATTCGCATTCTATCAGAAATTTCGTGCATGGTGATGTTTTTCTTCAGTTTTTAAAATGTCTTCACGATTTTTCTGTGTCTCCTTAATTTCATCTATTTCTTGTCTCATCCCTGCTAAATTTCGGTCTATTGTTCCGAAACGTTCATCTAATTTTTTGTCAAGTTTAGAGAAGCGGTCAGTAAATTCAAAGTCAAACCGTTCAAGTCTTTGGTTCATGATATTTATTGAAGAAAATAACATTTCCATAGTAATATGTGTACGTGCACTATCAGTTGAGGCAGGAAATGGATGAGATGGAAACGGAGGTTGAGAATTGTAATATGCAGGATATGTAATGTCTGCTTGTGGTCTTGGAGCATAAGGTGGAACACTATCTGTCTGTGCTTTAAGACTATGTTGTGGGTGGAGTATCGTTGGTATGCTTGTACATTCAAAAGTCTGATTCATAGGATTATGTTGATATTGTGTTGGAATAGTCACACTTCTTTTAGATAAATTATGAGTTGTGCTAGTATAAAAAGTGTCGTGAGCTTGGTTCAGTACTTGAGAAAAACGTTGTTGTTGTTGAAAAGCTTCCAGTCAGATGAAGCGGGTGTGTCTCATCAAATGTCCGACTTCGACCATTTATGATATTTTTTCAAAACTCGTAATCCAGAATTTTTTTATAAATATAAAATAATTATAATTATCACCAGTATTTTTTCCTGAAGAAGCAAGTTTTTGACCTTGTTAGTGGATTTGGTACATATACATTATCGGCATATATTAAAATATGAAATGCTGTTTTGGAATCATTTTTTTCTTGTTTTCAAAGAAAATTGCGTTGTCACTAAAAGACAGCCAACTATATAATTGTGTTCCAGAGTGGTATTCTATTTATGTTTTTAGTATTGCGATGACCCATGATGATATGTGCATCGAAAAGCCGGAAATAGAACAAAATGCTATTTTTTTTTTTAATTTGAAAGTGATTATCTTTTAAACTAATTAAGAGGTACCATGTAAATGGACTAAAATACAAAAAGAAAATTTTACGACCAGAAGAAAATTAAAATATAGATATTATTCTATTTTTGTAAACACTTTCCAGTAGTGTGTTATTCCAGTACATTAAACTCGTACATTCGAGCTCAGTTGCAGTTACTAATTATACACTTATATCCAATGATATAACACTTGTTACTTGGTGATACTTATACAAAAGCATATGAGGTTCTTTCACTCCACAATCATATTTATATAATACGACTATATTCACACTTAAGAAAAAGTGATGAATAAATGCGTAAATCAAAAATACGTGATTTTGTGAATGAGTGCACAATGTCTTAAGTACCCCGGCAAAAAAATGTTTGGACTCGTTAGTATCTAATACTAGTAACCAGTACGGTGGCGGAACACGTACAACCCGAGAAAAGATGGGATTTCTGTTTATTGATTTGTTATTTGGATGAAATAGTAGATTCTAAATACACGTAGTACTATTTTCGATTTTGAATAATTTGAAAAAATTGTAATATTTTCTACAACCGTTCAATATTAATGGAGAAATGAGTAAAAATCTACGGCAAAAAAGACTCATAAAGTAAACCTTACCTCGAATTAAAGTGTGCACTTTGAACGGAAAGAAAGATATTGTGTCTTTGTTGTTATAAGTTCTTACTATAATATATCATATGTAAGGTTAACTTGTTTGTATAGTAGATATCAGAGACTATCGAATCCAAACATTATGGCAGGAGTACTTTAGACGGGTCTGGATTGGGTTCACAGGATAGAATCGGCAAATCAAAATATAGAGAAAAATAGATAAATAGTGAATAATGTGCGGAACTAGAATATAAAGGTACATCAATTAAAGAATGAGTTTTAAAAATCTGATTACAGAAAAAAAAAGGATTAACGGAATATCGAAATAGTGCGCTGTCTATACACAAAATCAAGGAAAATTTTTAATGTCAAAATAATCGAAATCTGACCTGTTTCATTGATTTAGGACATATCAATTCTTTACATTCGTAATTATCATTATTTTTCCTTAAATGAAAACACGGTCTTGCACGAGTTAGTAAAATCTTCAAGGAATCATATCTTTTGGACTTTTGGACTGGCGCTTCTGTTTTCTCCTTTTTTCTTTACCAAATTTTACTTCAACTGCTTCTGACTAACGGCTTTTTTACTCTTAAAGATGGGGCAACGGTAGGAAAGAAAGACCTGGTTATATATTCTGCTAAAGTGTAATTGTATAAATATTAAATTTCAGTATGTATTTAAAAAGCTTGAAAACCTTATTTCAAGATTAAATAAACTGTTGACACAGAGATATGTCTCGCGTGTTTGTAATTTTGATAACAAAAATGCAAACGCTGAAATTAATTCAACGTAGCAAAACTTTAACATGTAAAATATGAAAAATAACCAATTAATAAACAATGATTGAAGGTGCAGGGTCAGATAAGATATGCCAATGCTAATACAACCACATACCAACTATCAGTTACTTATCATAAATGGTTCCCCTCAAATTGTTGACGCCGACGGAAACATCATATATACCCAAGTCTCAATTTTTGACTCCTTAAAGGCGAGACAAAAAAAAACCAATTGGACTAAAAACGCCTGTACTGAGAGCAACTTTTTGATATGCTGATTCACCTATAATCCTATATTGTTGTAAAGTTTAGGGACTGGAGTACTTGAATGGGGTAGGGGTTTGGAAAGATTTTGTATTAAATTATTTTAACATGACAAAATTAATATAACACGTTTTAACAGATGAGGAATTCAGTGCCTTTGGATCCTTAATATTTACTATTCCTTAAATTTGTAAATTTTCAGGAAATTCTGTTGCGGCATTTGACTATGCAGAACTGGAAAATGGTCCAACAGTGTGTGCAGACTGGAGAAGGAATAAAACATTAGAGGAAAAGCACCTGTATATGTTTCACAATCAAATATGTTGTGATGTTTCCCTTATAGTAGGAGAGAACACAAACAAGACCGAGATAATTAATGCTCATTCGTTTATATTAGCATCTGGAAGTTCTGTTTTACAGAAAATTTTAACAAAAGCTACGCAGCAGAATACCACTATCAACATTCCTGATATCAAGCCAAAAATTTTCAGAATTATTCTTGAGTAAGTAAGTGTAAAACTGAAAGGAACACATTTTCGCTTTCCTTAATCACGACTGCAAATATAATTTCAATTCAACTTTTACACCTGAGTTTCAAACTACCAAATAATAAGTAGGACAAAGACTTAACAGACACATGTAGTAATGTATTGAGCAACAAATTTTCAAGGTTGCGTTTGTGATAGCAATACAATAATCAAACCAATAATAAAACACATTGGGCTTTCAAGTCCAAAATAAAAAGACCACATACATGTACATTTATGATTAGTTACAGAAATGTTAAATAGAGATTCTTCTATGGTTTTGACCTTTAATATATTTTTCGCATGAGGATATATTTCTCGTATCACACTAAAAATTGATACGAAAATGTGTTAATTTGATTGGCTTATTCGACATTAAAAAACGACAATGCAACATTTTCATTGGCTATTCGTTAGATCATTGATGACTTTCAAAGGTACAGACGATGTGCATTTCCTCCATGGAAACTGATATATGTGATTTATTCAAGAATATACAAAAGTCACACTTTTCACCTCAAAATCTGCTTGTCAAATTTTATCACATTCTAAAGCGTACATAAAATTTTAATATGTCTTATGTTAACGTTTGACGCCGGAAAATGATATATTATGTCATACTGGTGTGTAAAAAAGACTCGATCAATGATCCGCAGAATTTTTTATTTAGCACAAAGAGAATGTTTATTCTACCATCGAGAAATAGGCTAAATAAAAGTCGTGAAAGTTGGAAATCGCTTGTGTTCTGTCCCATAAATACAACAGCTTAACCATTTAATATTTATTGACTAAGTTTTAAAAAGCTGTAAGATACAAAAAATGACTTTAGAATACAAAAATAACTGCTTGACGTTACAATGATAAGATAAAGAGATATACCAAGTTAGAAATAATAACATAGGAACCAGGAATGAGGGGAGTTTAACAATTTTTTGTAAAAGCTATTTAATTGATGGTATTACAATAGAAAAAGAACTGAGATGTGATATTGCTGTTATAAAATTAAAACATGATTTTTTTTAAGAATTTTCCAATTATGTGTTGAAAAAAATTGACGCGACGAGTGACGACCTAGGATTTGAAGGCTTCGTATTCTAATTCAGTACGCTTAATCAAAACAATTTGTATGTTAGAACTTCTAGAAAGTATACGCGGCTGGCATTTATAACGTACAGCATGCTTTGAACTCATTTGATATGACTTTTTGGAGGAAACAGACTCGTTTTAGTTAAAGAAAAAATGACAAAAAAATGCCAAAATATGGTAGTCCCATGACTTCCATTGTTGCTTTAAGAAATGGGGTCAAACCGGGGTCAGCTTTCCGACTGATAACAGTGTTGACGAGACCATTTTTTGGCGCGCTCAAGTCTCCCCATTGACTGGGTTAAATAGACCACTTTCGAGTTTGTCCTTCACCGGAAAAAAATCGTCAATTATGCGAGCCTTTATGACGTCATTTACCAGATAGGGGCTGACCCGAGAATCTGTCCCGCTTGAACTAATGACGTCATACAACAATCACTTTTCCATTGTGGCGTCAGATATTTTGTATTATGACGTCAAAATTTTACGGGAACCTGTGTGATGTCCAGTAATGGCGGACAAATAGCGATAAGGTGTATTAACGTTCATCAAGCGTCTTAGTGATCGTCATTGTACAGGATAAACTAGAAATAATGTTTGTTCTGTAGGTGCTTAATCACAATTTCCTAATGACAGCAGTGCTGATAGTCAATTATGAGAATTCAATTTGCCGAAGAATTCGTGCAATATAACATCATAGTTTTCCAACCACTGGCTCAATATGGGAACGGAAGTGACGACGCCCCTAAACGCACGAATGATGTTCACTAAAACCAAAGTTTTTGACGGAAATGCATCGAACTCGAAAATTGTCTATTAGGTGAACGTTCGTCTGTAACGCCAACTTATCACGTCGTATTTATTATAGACATTTAAACTGTGGGGTCACCAAAGGTTCTCAACGCCTTTACATAAAAGCATTATACAAACAGAAAAGTCTCTTAATTAATTAGATATACATATAGATATATACATAAATAGAGGCAATTGAGTTGTGTAGTACTGGAATATCCAAGGCAAACTAATCATATGAGTTATCTGTATGACTGAATGATTCAAACGATGATCCATGTGAAAAATATCCAGTTAAAAAGATGATTTTTTTTTCATCGTCCGGAACTCTTTTCACAAACAAATCCTATACATTGAATAAATGGTAGGTTACTCTTAAATGGTCACAACGTGGGAGTATTTTTTCTCTTTCAAGATATTTTGTGAATTAACCCCATCGACTTAAAGTTTTTACAATGAAAATCCAAATGTGTAAATGTATTTTTCGATTATTTAATGATATTAGCTCTGAACATTGATTATTCTCTAAAATGAAACTGTTGTTTGTGCTAATATAAAGAATATTTCAAACAAATTCCTTTTAAGTTTTGTGAGTTTCATTTTATGTATCGAAATGTGTAACAAGTGTTTATTTAAATCCCCACTGGAGGGCCTCTGACAGACTGAGGGAGCGTAAAATCATTGTAATCGATAGCCGATGACAAACAAGTTATAGATAAATGATTCAGTACTATTATTTAACAACAAAAGTACTACGGTTGTCCACACTGTTACGAGAATACCTCTATACCCCATGAAAGGTCAAATTTTCATGTAATTAATGATGTTGATTTTCATGAGATTATTGAAAATGTTATTCTAGAGTACAAACAAAATAGTTCAGTTTTTGTTTGCGGTGATTTAAATAGCCGCATAGGTATAGTTGGTGATATTTGAGAAAATGATAATTCAGATAGATATGTTTATAGTTTTGAACACATTGAAAACCATATAATTCCTAAACGGCATTCATTAGATAGTACAACCAATGCGTATGGTCGAAAGCTATTGCGGTTGTGTTACAACACAGGCCTAACGGCAGCGAACGGCAGGTTAGAAAAGGACTGGGACGGAAAATTCACATTTTGCGCATCGAAAGGTAGAAGTGACAATGACTATTTACTCTTATCACTTGACGATTTTAGAATTCAATGAGTTTTCCGACCACGCACCGTTTTTTGTCGAACTCGTTTCATCAAATGCCAGTCCAAATAACGTATATCCGAAGACTCATAAATTTTTTAAATGGGACGACAGAAAAACAAACGATTTTGTTGAGATTGTACAACAACAAACTGAAACTTTAACATATTAATGAGCAAAATTTTGAACCCAGATAATATGAATAGTGCAGTGAGGGATATGTCTGAAATTTTGTATGAGAATGCTTTTAAAGTTTTTGGTCGTTCTATACTTGTACGAGATGAAATAAATACGGATTGACCGGACAACGATTGGTTTGATGCAAACTGTGCAACTTTCCGTGGTCAGTTCAATCGAGCACGCAACTTCGTCTTTAGACATCCTACAGAGGCGAATAGACAATTGAATGTAACTGAAAGGAACAATTATAACAAGGTGAAACGTAAGACAAAGTCCAATTACAAGCGGCGAAAAGGCGAAATTTTGTGTAACGTGGCGAAAACAGAGCCTAGAAAATGCTGGTCCGCGGTTCGTTATAATAAAAGAAAATCTTGTTGCACAATGAATCAATGTTAAAGCATTTTGAATCTTTTCTTGGAGACAATCTACCGGAGTTGTGTGACGAAATTTCAAATCTTGTGAATAATTCTATGTTTGATGTTTTGAATTTAAATGACCTAGACATTGAAATATCTGAGGAGGAAATTAAAGTAGCTATACAAGAAAATGAAGTCAGGAAAGAGTGCTGGAAATGATGGTAATATAATTAGTGAAATGTTATCTTGCTGTCCGATCTTATTTGTACCTATTTTAAAAATTTTGTTTAATTTAATTTTTCGTCTGGAATATATCATGATTACTGAACAGAGTGTTTTTAAGTCATAGTGGTACCTAAAACTGGTGATTTATTTGATCCAAATAACTACAGACCAATAGTTTTATAGTTAGTGTTAATCTAAATTATTCACTACTATATTCTAACCAATCGCTTAGTATCATGGGCAGAAGATGAGTAAAAAATGATTAACAATCAATTTGGCTTCAGACTCGGACGATCTCCTATAGATGCAATATTTGTCCTACATGAAATTATCACCAATACTCTTCAACAAAAGCAGAAACTGTACTGTTCATTCGTTGATTTTCGAAAAGCGTTTGACAAGCTTGATGGAAGAATACTTATATATAAGCTCCTTAGAAGTGGAGTTAGCTCCAAATTTGTAACTATTGTGAAATCTGTCTATTTCTCTGTTAAACTGTGTGTTAGATCTGGTGGTATTTTATCGGAATCGTTTGACAATTTAATGGGGGTAAAACAAGGGGAACCCTTGTCGCCTCTTTTGTTTTTATTTTTCATCAATGACCTAATTGAGGACATACATATTGATGTACGGAACGATGCCGTTACCGTGAATAATATTCTTATATATTTTGTTCTTTTTGCGGATGACACTGTTTTGTTTGGAAAATCACCAGGGTTATTGCAAGAACTTTTGAATAAATTGTTAAAATATAGTAACAAAGTGGAACTTTGAAGTGAATACTGACAAAACGAAAATTGTTGTATTTAAAAATGGATGGCAACCAGTAAATGTCCGTTTTTCTCCGATAATGAAGAGCTCCAAATAGTAAATTCATATATATATCTAGGTATGCTGTTTTCTTTTAATGGAAAGTTCTTTCAGACCGAGAAACGTGTATCTCAACAGGGTTCACGAGCTTTATCGTCATTGTTAAACTCAGTTAAAGATTTGTGCTTGTCGAAAAAGAAACAACTGGGTGGCATCTGTTCTAAATTAGGCTTCGGAATTTTGGGGTTTCAATCGAGGTAAAGATGTTGAGATAATTTATAACCATTTTTGTCGCTACATTTTAAAGTTTGGCAAAACTGTGCCCAACTGTTTCTTATATGGAGAATT